TAAAAAAAGCACGAGAGCTGGAGTCATAGCTCAGCGTAAAGCACATGCTTGGCACAGCGCGAAGCTCTGGGTCGAATCCCCAATACCAATAAAATAAAATAAAATATCCATTTATTAAGCCAGGCAAGGTAGTGTAAGCCTGTAATCCCAGTAGTTGGGAAGTGGAGTCAAAAGGATCAGGAGTTCAAAGTCATTCTCGGTTATTTTAGGGAATTCCAGATCAGCAGGGGTTACATTAGACATTTTCTCATAAAACAAAAACAAAGCAAAAATGCCTAACACGCAAAAAAAAAAAAATGCCTAACACTAATCAGGGTCGAGTCATTTGCCTCAGGTCGCAGCTGTCTAGGCCCCCCACAGCCCGTCGACCCCCACAACAAGGGGTCTGCGACTCCAGCAGTCTCCTTCCCGGAGCCCTCCTTACTCCTAGTGGGTCTAGATCGCTTGAAAGACCCATAAAATCTAAGGTGTTGGAGTCTTCTCCGCCCTTTTAGGATCTAGGTGTCCTGTGATGCTCCTCCAGCCCCGCCCTCATGAGGCGGTAACCAAGAGTATGGGAGGGGGAAGGGGCGGGGTTTATAGGGCCGGAAGGCGGGATTCGGGCCCTCCTGGCCAGGGGCGGGGCGGAGATGTAGTGAGGGCCAGTGAGCCTCTCCCTGGAACCCTTCAGGTCCAACAGGTCCATCTGGCCCGGCAGAAAGCAGGAGGGACTTTCACTCCTTCCCCACTCCACGCAGCGGCCTAACCGGTTTGAGATTGGATACTTCCCAGCTCCACCCAAATGAGGACTGTGACCAAAGCCTTGCTCTAGGGCCTTGGGTTCTTGTGAGAGGAAGAAGAGGGCTGATGGGCTCTGGAGTGTAGCAAAGGATGCAGCTGAGTCCTGAGAGCCCCTAGTCTTTAAATGGTGGTCATGAAACTCTACGCCTCCCAGAAACTGAGTCCAAGAAAATGTTTCTGAGAGAGAAGGCCAGCTTTAGGCAAGACCCCAACATGGGGAGCTCAAAGCCACAACTAGGTCAGGACACACAGCCTGGGGTGACTTAGGTCTCAACGGGGTCAGAACATACAGCCTGGGGTGACTTAGGTCACACCTGGGTCAGGACATACAGCCTGGGGTGACTTAGGTCACACCTGGGTCAGGACATACAGCCTGGGGTGACTTAGGTCTCAACTGGGTCAGGACATACAGCCTGGGGTGACTTAGGTCTCAACTGGGTCAGGACATACAGCCTGGGGTGACTTAGGTCTCAACTGGGTCAGGACATACAGCCTGGGGTGACTTAGGTCTCAACTAGGTCAGGACACACAGCCTGGGGTGACTTAGGTCTCAACTGGGTCAGGACATACAGGCTGGGGTGACTTAGGTTGCTGTAGACCTCAGATTCACTGAATAAGAAAGTGGGTACTCGGGCTGGAAAGATGATTGAGAACACTGCTCTCCCAGAGGACCCAGAAGGCAACTCACACCTGTCTGTAACTCCAATTTCACAACTTCTGACGTTCCCATACAGACATACATGTAGGTAAAACACCAATGCACATAAAATTGAAATAAATAATTAAAAGAAATAAAGTGAACAATCAGTGTCCTCAAAATGCTACACCCCACACTAAAGACAAGACACTGAGCCCAGAACTGACCACAGAGCTGCTTTTTTGCTAACTAGCGGGCCCTATGCTACAACTGAGGTTTCGAAGGTAATATCAGTCCAAAACAACCTGACAAGAACCCAAAACACAGAGGTGAGCAAAATGACACAAAGGGACATCCCTAATGCAGGACATAGTAAATCTGGATACAGTAAAGATACAGAACTCAGAGCCTGCTCAGCATGAATGCATGGACACAAAATATAAATCGAGCCCCTAGCTGATCCCCGGTGAGGCAGAAGGATGGCAAGTTAAAACCAGCTGGAGGAGCTAGGAGTGATGCACCTTTATTTTGTTTTGAGGTTTTTTGTTTGTTTGTTTGTTTTGATTTTTCAAGACAGGTTTTCCCTGTAGTTTTGGAGCCTGCTCTGAAACTCACTGTGTAGCTCTGGCTGTTCTGGAACTAGCTCTTGTGGACCAGGCTGACCTCAAGCTCACAGAGATCCACCTGCTTCTGCTTCCCAAGTGCTGGGATTAAAGGCATGCGCCACTACTGCCAAGCTTGCACCACTGCCCGGCTGGTGCCCATCTTTAATCCAAGCACTCAGGAGACAGGGGCAGCTGGATCTCTATGAGTTCTAGGCCAGCCTGGTCTACAGGGTGAGTTCCAGGACAGCCAGGACTTGGAATACAAGCAAACAAATAAACAGATAAAAAACAAAAACTAGCCCGTGGAAATCCTGTTCCAAACACACACACACACACACACACACACACACACACACACACCAGGGCCACCAAGATGTCTCAGTGGGCAAAGGCATTTGTTACCAAGACTGAGAACCCGAGTTTGATTCTCTGGGACCCAGATGGTGTAAGGAGAGAACCTACTCCTGCAAGTTGTCATTTGACCTCCACCCTCACACTGTGGCATGTGTGCACACATGCAAAAAAACCACAAAGTGTAGGAAATAATAGGGATACAAAGAGATTCCCTAATGGGGGTGGGGGTGTTCAGGACACAAGAACATTTTTGAGGCTGAAGACTCTCGAAAAACAGAGTCGAGAACAGACTTAGAATCCAAGGCAGCAGGTGGAGATGGAAACCTATGTTCCACCAGGGACAAGTCTGACACCAGAGCTAGGGTCATAATAAGGGGAGGAAAGAAGTTGGGGATTGAGGGGCCCTGCCCCACCAGGGACAAGTCTGACATCAGAGCTAGGGTCATAGTAAGGGGAGGAAAGAAGCTGGGGATCAAGGGGCCCTGCCCCACCAGGGACAAGTCTGACACCAGAGCTAGGGTCATAGTAAGGGGAGGAAAGAAGCTGGGGATCAAGGGGCCCTGCCCCACCAGGGACAAGTCTGACACCAGAGCTAGGGTCATAGTAAGGGGAGGAAAGAAGTTAGGGATCGAGGGGACAGGGCCCTAGAACCTGAGACTTGAAAAGACAAGAAGGAGACTGTTCTGGGACCTTCCAAGTTTAAAACTAGGCAAGCTCCAGGGGCCAGAGAGATGGTTCAGCAGTTAAGAGCACTGGCTGCTCTTCCAGAGCACCTGGGTTCAATTCCCAGCACCCACAGGGAAGCTCACAACTGTCTGTAACTCCAGTTCCTGTAGATCTGGCATCCTCACATAAACATACATACAGAAAAACATCAATTCACATAAAACCAATCTTTTTTTTTTTTGATTTTTCGCAAGGTTTCTCTGTAGCTTTGGAGCCTGTCCTAGAATTCACTGTGTAGCCCAGGCTAGCCTCAAACTCACAGGGATGTGCCATCTCTGCCTCCCAAGTGCTGGGATTAAAGGCATGAGCCACCACTGCTCAGTAAAATAAATCATTTTTAAAAGATTGTGCAAGATAAATAGCACAAATTTAATAAATACTAGACTATTTAACTGAAAACAACACATTCTACAAGTTAGAATATCCATGGGGTGCGAAGGAGCTCTAGAACAAGAGCAGACATGATCAGAACATAAAACACATCTAAAATGAAAACACTGGAGACCTTACATTGAGATTATTTGAAGGGGTGGTGGTGGGGCAAGATATTTTTGTCTATTTGGTCTTGTGATAGGAATCGAACCCTGGATCTTGTGCACGTGAGGTGAGTGCTCTACCTCGGAGCTATACCCCCAGCCCCAGCTGCTAGAAATATAGGACATGTCTGAAGAGAAGGTTGAGAGCAGAAATTGACATAGGGATGTTATCTAGGTATTTGAAAAGACCAGAAGAGAAAAAGAAAAAGAAGAGGAGGAGGGGGAGAGGAAGAAGAAGAGGAAAAGGAAATGTGCACATAGGCTACATGGCACAACCCTGCTCGTTGGGGATGGGGAGAAGCAAGTGGCAAAAGACATGCCGAGAATGTAGCACATGGTATAGAATGCGGATCACGCCTTGATGAGGATGGAATAGATGTACCATCTGGAAATGCTCTGGAACTTGGAATCAGGAACATAACACAAGGAAAGGATTCATTATAACTAGAAATGCAGGAAGATGGCAAGTAGGTTCCAAGACAAGAACCCTGGCCACAGAACACACTGGAAGGAAGGGATGGCTGCTTGGTACTTGGAGTATGAGATATCAGACATCACCATATGGGTCTCTAGAGGCAATGAGATGCCAGAAATACATCAACCACCCAGCTTTAGTGGGAGAGGAGACTCTGCAAGTCTAGCACCTGAAATGACAGGCAGATGAGTTCATTAAGGCCATGGAAGAAGTGAAGTTGATGGAACGGTGAGGCCACAAAAACCTGAAGATGGGAGTGCAGTGGAGTGCCAGGTGGGGGTCCAGACCTTTGAGTCCATGTGGAGGGTGTTACAGACTTAGAGCCTGAATATTTGATGAGAGTGTAGGGCTGGGCAGGTGATCTCATGGACGGGACAGTTGTCATGGTCTGAGATTCTGGGTTCCTAGGATGTATTTCTTTAAATGGGGATTACGAGATGGGGTGAGACACCTAGACCTCCCAGAAGGAAGGAGGACAGAAGCAGAGGAGTTGCATTCCAGATTTTTGAAGAGAACTCATGGCGCCTGAGTCCCTAAGGCAGTAAGCAGGTGCCGGTGTACCAGGAGACTGGGCACATTTGTCTGACAAGGGAGAGTGGGGGGAGGGTTGTTAAACTAGGTGCTAAGTGGAGGGGGGTGGGCAAAGCCTGGGAAACTGGATTCCCCAGGTGCTGAATAGGGTGACGGCGATTACTCAGGGTCAGCAGATGTTGGGTACCAACAGCCCTTCAGAACCAGGTGGGAGCTGGAGGTTCCATGACAAGGTCTCTAAAGCGTCCTGGGCAGGGACATTCAAAAGCCCTGAAGTGAAGCAGCCAGAGTCCGGAAAGCTAGGGTGCCTAAACATGAGAACCCTGCGGCCCAGCTAGGGGTGGTGGGGCGCCGGGGATCCCCAGGTCAAAGGCGCGGTTAGGGGGATCCCCACGCCGCCTGCACCCCCTTCTGGGCGGCTGTGGCAGGAGAAGGGGGAGGCGAGGCTACCGAGAGCTGACCATGGACAGCTCCAGCGCCGGCCTGTTTCCAGGGCGAGCCGGCCTGGACGGAGGAACGCTGCCGGCTGTTCCAGCCAGAAGGTGGGGGCGCGAATGGGAGAACGATTCGGAAGCAATAGAGGTAGCCGTGCAGCGGTGGCCAGTGTCTGGAGCTCCCAGGACTGGGCCCAAAGGGGGGATCTAGACTAAGGGGATTCAGGCTTCTGGGCCCTGGAGGAGGCAAAAGGAGGCAACCCGCCTGAGATACCAGGGTTCGGCTGGGGACTCTGGGCTCCGAGAAGGGACACGCCTGGTTCTCCTGGGTTGGCTTGTGAAATCTGGACTCTGGGTTCCCTTGGGATGTAGATGGGAATGCAGGATTTCGAGCAAGTGAGTGGGGGAGGCTAGCCCAGGGGTCCCCGGGGTGGGCGCTGCCGGGCAGGCTGGGCCGGGCTCTTACCTACCTGGTCCGCGGCGACTGCGGGAGGAGCTGGGCTGCAGTAGGGACGCGGGGTGGGGTAGGGGCACCGGGTGGGGCCCCTGGCGGCGGCCGGGGCCCGGATCTGGAGCTCTGGAGCCCTGTCTACGCCGCTAGCGCGGGCTCAGCGTCTCTTGCTCCGGCTTCGGCGCTGGGGACCCCCCTCCCCCTCACGGTCTCACAGCCTTCTTATTCCCTAAAATAGCCCCCTGCCCCTGTCACCGTACAGCCTCCCCCCGCGAGGCCGCAGTCGCCAGATCCAGGGGTGCCCACCAGCGCCCCCCCAATCCCACCTTCTTCCCCCCAAAAAATTTCTCCTCCCTCCCCCTCCCCCAACAGATCCCAGGCGGTCGTGGCCCCTTTAACAGAAGACTGACGGACGGCGCTGAGTGGCCAATGAGAATTAGCGTCCGTGCCGGCCGGTGACCAGGCCCCGCCTCTGCATCGAGAGGGTGGGGCCGCGCGGGCGGAGAGCTGGGGGCGGGACTCATGGTGCAGCGACCAATAAGTATGCAGCGTGCGGCGGCCTGGGATGGAGGCGGAGCCCGGCAGAGGATGATGTCACCTGAATCTTGTAGTGCGCGTGGAGCGCTAGTCGCGACCCCGTGTTCCCGCGGCAGCGCGCATCTCACGGGACAGGAGGGCTGGGTGGCGGGTTGGGAATTCAACGTTCATGGTGGGAATCTTTTTTTTTTTTAAAGGCAAGGGCGGCTCCCGGAAGGATGTGCTCGGTTGGAGGTGAGGCGAGTGGCCGACGGGTGGTGAGTGCCTGGTACTCCGCACCCCTGCGCCCGTCTGGGGAATTGCACGCGCCCCGCTACCGACTCCCTCTCAGACGGTGGCACGGCCCGCTGGGCTCCCCCAGCGGATAGTTCGCTCCGCCACGCCTACAGAGGCAGAGCTCCTGCTGCGTTTCAAGACTCCCGCGCCCTACCGGCAGCGGGAGACCCTACCAAACCCTCCTCTCCTTCCGAACCTCTGAAGTGTTGGGGACAGTGGTCTAAAGTAGTGCGCCCTGGCATTCATTTAGACGCAGCCTTGGGCCGATTAGTCTCTGGGAAGCCGGCCAACCTGTCTTCAGTGCTGCTCGAGCAGAGTCGATCTCGCTACCCATACTGCAAAGAGCTTGGTTTTAACCTCAGCTTCATCCTCCTCCTCCACAGTCACTATTCCAGGATGCGCGACAGACACACAAGACACTTGGTGAGGGTTAAAGATCTTTAAATAAGGTGCCAGTGACAATAAATAATACTGTACAGGGGAGGTGGAGGGTTCTGCTGATTTCAGCCTCGGGACTCCAAAGACCTGCAAGGATGTGGAGAGGGGAAGTTCAGGCTCAGAGGAGGTTCAGTGGGGCATGAGATGTTTAAGGCTGAGGTTCTGGAAACAACGGTTCAGAAAAGCAGACACAGGGATTCTGAGATTAGGAAGCCAGAGTCCCAGGGCCTTGGCTACCATGGTAGGGGTCAAGGGTCAGGAAGCCCCTGTGAAGAGCCAGGGATAAAGGACCACCGGGATCACTGGCCTGGCTTGGGAGTTTGGGGCTGGGGACGGCAGCAGGGGGAGAGTGGGTGCGAGGCTCACGTGTAGCTGTGGTGCTGCTGGCGCCTCCGGGCAGATCGCATCTTCTCAAAGCGGGCCTCCATCTCCTCCAGCACCCGTGGGGTGTACCGCACCACCAGTTTCACTGAGCCCTGGGCGGCCTTCAGGAGTTCCACGGCTTTTTCATGGTGTTCGCCCTCCACACTCTGCAGGGCAGGCCTCGCACAGACTGCTGACCCAAACCGCTGCCCTTACCACCCTACCCAGGACACGGGACCAGTGGATAGTGAGAAGGCTGCTAGGGTCAAATTTCCAGGGCCTTATCCCCTCCCCAGTGGATTACCAACTTGAGATTCAGCACCTGCACCCTAAAACCTGTCATGTCAGTACAGCTTAGAGTCCTAGTCAATGAAGCAGGTCATGGAACCTGTTCTTGTCCTCCCAGATCCTGGAGAGGCCTTGACACTCCCTAAGCCTACTGTTCTCACAGCCCAGTAACAAAAGCCCAGCTTTTCTGGCCAAACTACCTCCTCCGTGGTGCATTCTAGGATTCTAACTACTAGGGTTCAGGATGTTGGGTGGCCCAGACTTCTATCAGAGCCAACCTTTCTCCTCAGGCCAGGGAAGTGCAATTACCAACCCTATCCGTTCTCAGCCAGAACCACCCTCTTGAGAACTACCCATCCTTCAGCATCCACTCCAAAGGTTCCTCCTATAAAACCTTCCATCCTCTACACTGGACTGGTCCCCTAGCATGCTCTCAAGTCCTTGAGAGCCAGCAGTGTCTACAAAAGCTGTGCTCCCTGTGTGGAGGGAAAAACCATCCAGTGCTTCCATACAGACACTGTGCGGCCCCACTCACCACACCATTCACGGACAGCAGCTGGTCTCCCCTCTTGAGGCCACCATGGCGATCAGCCACGCCTCCGGGGATGACTCGAGAGATGTAAATGGGTGAGTTCTGCTCTTTGCCACCCATGATGTTGAAGCCCAAACCCTCATCAGTCTTCGGTAGTTCCACGACCCTGGGATGTGCATGGCCCTCACTGGCTGTGAAGGCAGCCACTGTGGCCTGGAAGAGAGAAGGTGCCTTGATGTGAGAGACCCTGGCCCCTTGAGAAAGGGGCACTTCAGCCAGGGTTCAAAGGTCAAGCAGGGGACTCCCGCCAGGTGACTAAAACCTGTGAGAACAGTTGCATTCTTCCACAAGCCAGGTATGTCCTCAGTATTTTGCACCTGCCAATCTTGTTTTCAGACAAACTAGCCCCCACCCTAGGGGTCAGATGGGGACAGAACTGAGTCTGCTGGCAGTAACAAGAAGAGTGGGGCACTGCAGTTTGGATAGATGTCCCTGTTCACGATATCCAACTGGATCGTCTTTTAGGGTTATCTTTACGGCAGAAAAGTGAGGTCAGTTTCCTCGCCTGTTGCTAAAGAGAATCTCATGTGCATTCAAGTTAAAAATGTGCAGTTATTTAAAGGGCATTATAAATAAATCTTCATAGGGTGTAAGAGATGCGCAAATGAGAAGGAAGGCGTATGAACGGCTAGCTTTGGGAGGGCACTGTGCCTTTCGTGGTCACCCAGAGTTGCAGGGACAGGCGCCTACCTTGGCTGTGGCGTGAGCCCGCACCTCAGCGCTGCCAGTGATATCCAGCGTGTCATAGAGCTGTTCGTACACCTGGGGGGTGGGGGACGCGGCAGCATCAGGGAGATGCCAGTTCACAGCCCTGGACACAATTGTCTGCGTTCACTTGCCCGTCACGGGCCCCGCCGACCAGCGCTAGTAAACTACAACTCACACAGTTCCAAGGTGCTCACCTCACGGATGGCAGAACAGAAACGGCTCTGCAGGACCCGCTGCAGGGCCTGCAGCTTCTGCGGGGGCAGCTCTCCGCTGCGTTGCAGCCGCTCCAGCAGCTCCACGGCCCGGGACACATCTGCAGAACGCAGAGGGAACAGCGAACTCAGCAGGAAGGACGACCCAGGTCAGGCTGGAATCCATCGTCGGCCCTGCCGGTCCCCTGGACCCCAACCCCAGGCGGGGTGTTGTTGGTGCGCTCCGCCCCAGACCCTCCCACGCCCGTAGGCCGCGCCCCGCCCACCCTGACTTCGCCTGTCCCCCGGCATCTGACTGGCGCGGCCCACTGAGCTTAGAAACCGGACTGGACCCCCCGAGCGCCTACCCCGCTCCAGTCCCAGCGGCTCCACCAGTGCAGCCATATCGCGGCCAACGCAAGCCACCCGCCCGGGCGACAGCGAGGAGGAGGTGCCGCACGAGGCCCCGCCCACCAGGTGCCGGCAAGGAGGCGCAGCGCGAGGCCCCGCCCACACGGCTACCAACAGTTTGAGCCTCTGCCCTCACCACTGACGTTGAGGCGGTGCCACGCAGGGGCCCCTCCCACTTGGGGGACTTGCGAGACCTTCGTCCTCCGCGTGCCTTGCTCCCCCCCTCCCCCCCCCCCCCCCCCCCCCCCGCCCCGTGCCACATCACTACCAGATGATTGCATGGGTTTGTTCTGGTTGTTATCTTCCTGTTACAATGTTGGTGTGCTGCTTTGCTCCTTAGGGCATATCTGTGCCCTTTCGGTAGTTCCCCCTCATTTCCACACTGACAAGTCTAGGGGGCATGGTTTCTCAGGATTCCAGGGCTCTGCAGGACCCGCTACAGGGCCTGCAGCTTTCCAGGAGCCTGGGAAAAGAGGATTGCTGTGACTAGAAAGCCTGGGATACATACCAAGAGCCTGTATCCAGAAACCAGAACAATGAAATCTGAAGTTGAAGATGTAACTAAGTCAGTAGAGTGCTAGCCTAGCATGCTCAAGACTCTGGGTCGCATACCCAGGAGCGTATAAGTCACGGGTGGTAATGCACGCCTGTAGTCCCAACACTCAGAAGTGGAGGCAGGAAGAACTCTATGCAAGGTCACCACCTTCAGCTACACACACAGCTCACAGCTTGGTGGCGCACACCTTTAATCTCAGCACTCTGGAGGCAGAGGCTTTAAAGGCGGGCCTCATGTATATAACAAGTTTCAGAGCTGCCAGAAATACACGAGACCCTGTCTATACAGAGAGAGACTGACAGAGACACAGAAACAGACCTGACCAGGAACCTTCACAGCTCACAGAGATTTTTGGAAGAGAAAGTCAAGGAGCCATAAGGCCTAGGTCACCCAAAGCGCCCAAGAGGCTGGGAAATCACGATGATAGCACAAGAGAGCTTGTACTGTCATTTACATGTTGGATTTGTATTTTCATATAAATCCCTAAAAGTGACATAGGATCGTCAAGTGTGTAACTGAAGATCTCTGGGGGGCACCCAAGAAGTCTGGATTGCAGAAGTGGCAGGAGGATGCTGTCGCAATAAGCTGAGGCCAGGAGACCGGTAGACTAATGTGAAACATGCCTGTTTGGGTCGAGAGGTGCAATGGAAGTATTAATGTGTGCAGGCTACCATTTGTTCAATGGTGGCTGTGTGGAGTGCATGCAGATCTTTTCAACTTAAGAGGACTGTGCTGCTGCTGCTGGGAATGTAGCTCAGCTGACAGAACTTGCCTAGCAAGCAGAAGGCCCTGAGGCCCTGGGTTCAGGCTCCAGTATTGCATACCCCCGTGTGATGGTGCACTTCTGGAATCCCAGCCTGTGGAGGCAGGAAGACCATCAGTTGGCCAGCTTAAGACTACAGATGCTTTATTGGGCCTGTGATGTCTGAAAGGGGCCTGGGAACTGGAGGCCAGAAGGTGCTGCTGGCTGTCTCCGGTGTTAAGACAAGGGGAGAGGAGTGCAGGAACAAGGAAAGAATGGGGGAGTAGGAGGAAAGCTAGGCAGGGAGAAGAGCGGCTGTTTTAAAGAGGGGTGGTCACTGATACAGAATGTTGCTGCCGGCTGTGATTCTGGCTTAGTGGGGTGGGGATGTGGTCAGAAAACGGTGTCTCCACCACAGCGCTCACAATGGTAGCAGTGCCAATGACAAGAAGTCACTGAGCCTTCCCTAACTACCCATCTCGTCAGAGAGCCAAAGACGGCCTTGGCCTCCTACCTCAGCCTCCCAAGATTTAAGGTTTCAGCTACCATGCCTGGCTTCAAAGGCAGCAACCTGAACCAAACAACCAGGTACCTGCTTCAGAAGCTTTTATGGAGCTTAGTTTCTGCTTTCCTGTCTTTAGCTGAGGGACAGAGTATTGTCCTTAACCTTCTGAGGCACTCTGAGTAGCAGGGACTAGCAAAAAACTGGACAGCCACCCCTTGGCTAAGGAAGTGATCACTGATCCTAAGTTCTACAGAGCAAATTCCAGATCAGGCTCCAAAGCTACAGAGAAACTCTGTCTCCAAAAACAAAACAAATTAAAATTTACTTTATGACTTTGTGTATATTGGCCCAGCACAGCACACAGTGACCTCTTGTGAATGCCTAGGTGGTCACAGCTTTTGGTTTAATCCATGTTTGCCTGTGACATCCTTAGTGTGGGGCTCAAGCTGTGCTGTGAGTAGACCAGGCTGGTCTCGAACTCACAGAGATCCACCTACCTCTGCCTCCCGGAGTGCTGGGATTAAAGGCGTGCGCCACCACCGCCCGGCTTGTGAGCTGCTATTTCAAGAGGTACTTGCTTGTTGGTGCCTTTTACAAGCTTCCCTTCTTTACCCTACATCCTCAGCTTCTTTCCAAGCCTCAAACACAACAGGAGTTGTAGTTACTTTTTTTTTGGTTTTTCGAGACAGGGTTTCTCTGTGGTTTTGGAGCCTGTCCTGGAACTAGCTCTTGTAGACCAGGCTGGCCTCGAACTCACAGAGATCCGCCTGCCTCTGCCTCCCGAGTGCTGGCATTAAAGGCATGCACCACCACCGCCTGGCTTGTAGTTACTTTTTTTAAAGACAGTGACTTGCTTGTCCCAGTTGACTTTAAATTCATGATCTTCTCATACCACAACTGGCTTTAAAAAAAAAAAAATTTATTATGTATAGTGTTCTGCCTGCCTGTATGCCTTCACCCCTGAAGAGGGTACCAGATCTCATTATAGATGGTTATGAGCCCTCTGAGCCATTGCTCTAGCCCCTTAATTTTCTTTTTATAATTCCCAAAGTTGGAAATTTCAGTCTTCTTGCCAGCCTGGGTCAACTTCTCTAGGAACTGCCATCTACTTCCATTTGTACTGATTTGTCTTTTTTTTCTCCCCCAACAGGATTTCTCTATGTAGCTTTGGAGCCTGTCCTGAAACTCACTCTGTAGACCAGGCTGGCCTCAAAACTCAGTGATCTGCCTGCTCTTGCCTCCCAAGTGCTAGGATTAAAGGCATGTGCCAGTTTTGAATTGATTTTCTTGAATCCTTCATTCATTCACTTAAGTCAATTCCTAAGCCAAAAGGAGTTTTCATTAAATTTGTCCATCTTTCCAGCATTTCCGGGGTTCATGACAAGAAATTTGGGTGTTTTGGTATCTAAACTAATTCCTAAATCCATCTACTAAAATACTTCCCTCCCCCCATACACACACCAAAGATGTGTAATTTTCTCTGTAGATGTGGCTGTTTTGGAACTCAGTAGAGACTGGGCTGTCATGTGATCTGCCTGCCACTGCCACCACGCCCAGCTCACCTACTAAACCACGAACCTCAGAGTTGAGTGTGCTCACATGATTTTAATCCCAGCACTCAAGAGGCAGAAGGAGGTAGGTAGATTTCTGTGAGGCTAGCCTGGTCTAACTGGTCTATCTAGTGAGTTCCAGGACAGCAATGGCTACAGAGACTGCCATAGAAATGGAAACAATTTAAACTGTCAACCTCAGACTTGCTAATTCTTTACTTTCTGCTTTCGCTTCAGTGGCCCTGCATCTTCTACCTACCCTTCTTGTTACCTCACAAGTCCTTTTCCCAACAAGCCTATGAAATTCCAAGTGGCTGCTGAATACTATGGCCTAAATCCTTGATTTTGTATTCCTATCCTGGTCCGTCTCCTAGTGACCACCCTGGCATGTGGTGGGAGGCACTCCACCAGAGCAGTGTGGCTGCTGAAATCTCACCACGCCTCCACAAGGAGAGATTCCAGGGCCTCCCAGGAAACCTACAGGAGTTTCGCGTTTCTACAGTCTTTTCAAGGCTGTGAATACAGTCGTTGTTTCCCACCAGTAATAAGCACCCATTTTGAAGGCAAAACCATGATCATCCACAAAATACATTGATAGCTGGGAGATGGGGACAAATTGTTGGTGCCCCCAAAATAAGAGTGTCAGTACATCCTCTACAACTGCACAGAATCTCTTGGGGAGCGCTTCCCAATGAATCTGTTCACCAAGCAGAGCTTGGACATTTGGTCTGTCAGTCTCCAGCTCTATTTCCCACCTCCCCAGAAAAATAACCATATAGCACTTGGCATACACAACTTCATATCCACTCACCACTTCAGAGATCTCAGTGCAGTCACTCAGCCGCGCACACTTGGCAGGAGCCTGAGGCAGGTGCTCTCATCTCATGAGCAGGAAACAGCACAGCATATTCCCAAGAACTTATTTCCTCTAACCGGGTCCTTCCTCTTAAAACCCACAGCCACCCCAACAGTTGGAGACAAATATCCCATGTGAAGGCCATATTATACTTAAGCCGTATCAATTCCTTAAGAAAGGAACTGATGTCCCCACTGGTCATCCTCCAATGCCTTTCACAAGTTTCTGCCGCCCTAAGCATTCTACAGTGAGACATTCAGTCAATCCCGGGGAGATCCACAGGCACGCATGTCAAGTTTCCCGTTAGGGCAGTTATCTGTGGTACTCTTGGTTATGTGCAGACTGGAGTCTGTCAGTCAGATCTAAATGGCTGCCGTAGCCTTTCTTCAGGACCACGCCAGGCTACCCACTGCTTCCTCAGGGCCCACCAGACTCAAAGCTCCCCCACCTTTGTCTTCCTCCCAGGAAGGTATATGCACATCTCAACTGCTGATGGCTATCTCATTAGCACACTTTATGAGCAGACATGCTTCCTACCCACACGCCTGTGCCATCCTGGCTGGCACCCTGCCTCTTGGCCTACTGTTCTCTCATTGTTCCCTATCTGACCTGACAAGCAGTCCTGGTGACTTGAGCACAGCCTCTACTCCAGGTTGCAAAATGTGCTCTAGAATTAGTACACCCAGAGGGGCAGGAAAATGTACAGCGACAACCTTCTGGGAAGAGAGCAAGTGCAGTAATACACCAGGTGCCCACTATTAATCATGAAATTAATTTTATTTTTAAATCCAAGGGATCAGAACAAAAAAACAACAAAAAAACTTCTACCTCAGAGGACAAGCCATGGTGGAAAGGCTAGGAAGGCAGACAGCGAAACAGAAGCATGTCCACAACACAGGAAGCATCTTCATTCGGGAGCTGCCTCCATCAGATATCCATTTTCCGGGGCCATATACCCATCACCACCCTCTGCCTCCATGTACATGTCTCGACCATCACTACCTAGCCCTTCTAGCCCATTGTCCTGACCACTGCCACCCCCACCCCGAGCCTCATCCCTGCCCCGCTCACTGCCCCGCTCCCCCCGTTTGTGCTCTCGATCCCTATCACGGTCTCGGTCCCGGCGACGTTCCCTCTCACTTCGGTGGCTCCTACGTCGCTCCCGGTCTCGATCCCGGCCCTTCTCCTCTGGGCCATCAGGGCCATCAGGGCCAAGCTCTCCAGGAGGCCCATCATCAGGAGCTGCATCACCAGCTTCAGAGGGTTCAGCCATGTCGCCGCCGCCACCACCACCACCACCACCACCGCCACCACCACCTCGAAGCTCCTCTTTTCGCTCCCGCTCCCTGCGTGCTCGCTCTCGGCTCCGACTACTTCGGCGCTTTCTGTCTCTGTCCTTGTCCTTGCTCCTCTCTCTGGATCTGCGCCGCTCATCCTTGTCTCGACTCCGGGAGCGCCTCCTCCGGTCCCGAGAGCGGGAGCGTCTCCGTTCTCTCTCCTTGTCTCGCTCTCGGCTTCTTTCTCTGCGCTCCCGCTCACGGTCCCGGTCCCGGTCCCTGTGTGGAAGTGGGGAGGGGCCCGGCCTAGATAAGGTTAGCAGTGTGTGGCAGGGCACCCCCATTACTGTCTTGTCCCAAGAAACCAGGTGCCCAACCTTACCTCTCATCATATCGGGAAGTGTCATCTCGGCCAGAATGCCTGATGTTCACATCTGCACCACCTCTTCTGGTCCCACCAAGGCCACCTCCTATGGGCCAAGGAACACAGGGTCAGTGGGAATGGAGCAAAAACGGCAAACTTGAGAGGGGTTCCTAAATAGTGGAAAAACCCCAAATACCTCTACTGGTAGCTATGGTGCACAATCCCATGCCAATCATTTCCATGTCTCCTTGCCACAGAACAGCCTGTTTTCATGTAAGGCTTTCATAAGGTGCTAGAGCTCTCAGACACCCGAACAAGAATTTTCATTCCTCCCAAGCTTGCCAACCTCACCTGAGACCTCAGACTCTAGGCTAGTGCACCAACAACTTGCATTTTTGTTCACAATATCCAAAGTGTGAGTCCAGAGAAAAGCTGAAAGAGGTTAGGTAATGTTACACCCCTTAATCCCATACTTGGGAAGACAGGGCAGGTAGATGAGTGTGAGTCCAGCCTAGTCTACACAATGAGCTTTAGGCCACTCAAGGCTACACGCTGAGACCTTACATTTTCTTTCTTTTTTTGTTTTTTAAGAATTATTGATTATGTACACAGTGTTCAGCCTCCATGTATGCCTGCAGGCCAGAAGAGGGCACCAGATCTCCTTACAGATGGTTGTGAGCCACCATGTGGTTGCTGGGAATTGAACTCAGGACCTTTGGAAGAGCAGGCAGTGTTCTTAACCTCTGAGCCATCTTTCCAGCCCAAGAGATCTTATATTTTCAAAGAATAGAAAAACTGGAAGACCTGCCACAGGGAGCTGCTTCCCAGGGGATCCGTCATTTCCAGACTCCTCAGCTGTACTCTGGCCTCCCACAAGAGCCATAACTCTTACATATATCTTCCCTGGAGTTAAGCTTTTTCTCCTTGTCTCTGTACCTTGTACTCCCCCATCAGTCTCAAAGCACCAACTCAGATCCTGCCTTGCTCAACACAAAATGCCACTCCACTGAATTGTCATAGGCCACCAGCATCGGTCAGACAGGTTTCAAGTTCACCAACTGTGCAAGAAAACCACGACAGCCCCTTCAGATTCTGAACTTGCACAGATTTAACCCTGTCTACAAAGGTGGCACATACCTGACCAATAGCACCAAGGAGCAGGCAGCACTCATATTTCAAATGGGGAGCCATTAATGAGCCACTTGATTCCAGTGATCTGACAAGGAAGGCTCATGGCTGGGAATCCTGTGCCTGTGGTTTCCTGCACCACCCACCAGAAGAGTGTCTAGAGACACTTCCCGGTCAGTCAAAGGCAAGGTTGTTAAAACCAGGAATAGGAAAAGGATGAACCCAGACCTCCAGCTACTGGATCACAAGTTAACAATGGGCTACATCATCAATACAAGAGGATGTCAACATCTTTAAAAAGAAATACATGAGCTGAGTTCCTTCCGTCCACTACTCTTCACATCTGACTTGCCACAAGTCCAAAAGCAACACAGCCAGTTAGACCATGGACTGAAACCTCAGAAACCTAGTTAAACAAACGTCTCATTCTTTAAAAATAAACAGCCAGGCATGTAATTTCAACACTCAGAAGGTGGAGGCAGGAAGATCACCTTGGGCTTCAAAGTTGAAAGCCTGTCTCAGAGCTATACCCAAGTAATAAAATACTTGTGACTGCATGTGGACAGGTGCTACACAAAGCTTCACACGGGCTCCACGTCCGCCTGTGGCTGAAGATGACCCACACTCTCACAAATCTGTACGTCAGACAACAGGCTGGTTCTGAGACTTCAGGAATCTCCCAACACTGCACAAAGTCTCAAGAACTCATCTTTTTTCTAAGAACTGGAGGCCCCTGGGGGTTGAGGTGTTATGTCAATCCGGCACAGGCGCACAGGTGAAAGCAAAGGCAGGTAAAGCTGCCCAAGACAGAGGAGCACCTGGCACACAAGACCTGCAACCTAGGCAGAGCCTAATAGTGAACCATTAGATGAGCAAACATACAGAGACAACAGCACAATCTCAATGCCCAGCCTCAAGGTTCTCTTGGTAAGGTCCATTGACATCAGGGGCCTGAGACTGAGACAAGAGCTCAGCATCAGCAGGACCTTCCTTTCCTTATGCTTCAGGATCCTCAAATGTATTTTTTATTTTATTTATTTATCTTTTTTTTTTGGTTTTTTCGAGACAGGGTTTCTCTGTGGTTTTGGAGCCTGTTCTGGAACTAGCTCTTGTAGACCAGGCTGGTCTCGAACTCACAGAGATCCGCCTGCCTCTGCCTCCAGAGTGCTGGGATTAAAGGCGTGCACCACCACCGCCCAGCTTCAAATGTATTTTAAGACTTCTCACAATAACAACCCTGATGGAGACAGACAATGACAACTATAAAGGCAGTGAGGGGACAGAGACAGGGTCAGGGCACAGGCTGCCGCCCTCTTGCTCCAAATATGAAGGCAGAAACTAGGCTAGTGAGTACATGAAGCCAGGGAGTAGATGAAGAGGCCATTTAGCGAGAGCAAGAGCAAAGCTAGAAGGCAATGACACTCTCAAACCTAGCCTGTGATACCAAATCCACTAGGCATAAGGTGCTGAGGTCAGTGCTGAAGTTACTCCCACAAGAGCTGCTGCTGATCAATCACTCATCCAGGAAAGACCAGGGTATGCTTGGGCACTCATGTGTAGGTGTCTGTGTGTACACCAGTGTCTAAAGCCATGAAGCTGATGAGAGAAGACAAGCTGGAAATGGAGAACAAGCAACATATGGGTGCGGAGACTGAAGGCAAAATGACCTACAAACAGGTCCAGGAACCCAGAGGGCAAAATGTACTCACCTAGACGCCGGGGCCTCCAGCCCTTCACAGTCCGGCCCCTCTCCACATCCACAAGGACCCTCCTGCCATCTATCTTCTTGCCATCTGCGTGCTTGTAAGCGGCTGCAACAGATGTGGGGGGAGGGGGATTCCCCAGAAGGTGCTCTAGTCAGACAAGGATCCATGCAACAGCATCCCTTCCCCTCAAATCCACCTGCACACACACTCACACTCCCACCAGTCAGCCAGGCAACCAACAGCCAGACAGCCCTCTTCCCACCCTGAAGGGCCTGCTCCATCCATTCCAATTCCTTTTAAGCATCCCCAAATGTCACTGGGGGGGCAAAACATTCACCCTGGCCACCCCCAGCTCCCACATGATGGAGCAGCCCCCTCCTGCCAGGGCGGCCAAAGTTGCTGCAAAGAAACTGGAGGTTAGCTGAATGCTGGCCTCTGCTGTGGGGAGGGCTCCTCCACACCCAGGCATGCACCCTAGACACCATGCTGGGCAGGAGGCTGGCTAGGCCCCTCCACACCCAGGCATGCACCCTAGACACCACGCTGAGGCAGGAGGCCCACTGGGCCCCTCCACACCCAGACCACACCAGTTTTCTTTCTCTGTATTTTCATAGGGAGGTCAGTGCGAGGTAACAGACATCAGATCAGAAATGAACAGGAATGGAGACCTTAAGGAACTGGCAGGGACAGAAGTGGGGGCTGAGCTCCCCAGGGGCCTCCAAGGACCCTGGCTAGGCCCAGAGGTACATGTGCCGTGCTACTTAAAACCCTGCCTTACCTGAGCAGACTGACCCTGCCACCACCTAGCCTGGATAGCTCTGTCCTCCAGGTCAAGCTCAATGGCCGCAGGGTATACAGCCCAGCCTGAGCCCTCAGGGAAGTTGAGGAGTTTAAGACAGAGTATGGAGGCCCAGAGTGCAAGCCTGTCATCAGGCAGGGCTGTTAAGGCCAAAAGTCCCTTCCCTATCCAGGTTCCAGCCCTGGCCTAAGGAACTGTGCTCACCAACCACAATACCCTGCCCCACCCCTGCCCGCTCCCCCCCAATAACAACCAGAGGAAGAGAAAAAGGTGCCATTTACCGATGCCGGCCTTGCGGGTGTCCAAACCGAGCGGGATGGGGGGGGCTCGGCAACTCCTGGGGGCCTGGCGAGGAGGCGGGCTTCCCGGGGGTGGGGTGGGGGTGGGACACGGGACTGCTTACCTGGAGACCCCAAGCTTACCTGAGCACTCACACAGACCCCACACCCACCACCATTGGGGTAGTTAAACCTACAGGGAAGGTAACCAGGTCTTGGGAGCCCTGAGAGGGAGAGACTACATTTCCCACAACACCTAAAGACAGGTGGATAGAGGAAGTAAAGGGACCTCAGAGTCTCACAGAGGACTGACTTGAGCCTAGGCTGGAAGCCCTAGGGCTATCCTGCTTGACCTTAAACATCAGGCCTAAAGGCCTCAAAGCAGCTGCCACCTCACCACTTCCGGAAACAGTCACACTCCACTAGGCACTGGTCTGACTGACTCTTAGCACTGGGGTCAGGCTTCTCCACCACAATTCCAATTGCCCTCCCAACTAGTGGCAGCAGCTGAGGCTGGCACACAAGGGACACATCTGGGATCCAGGAATGATTTCCATGCTCCAGGAGGGGCCAATTGGCCCCTAACCCCAAGAGCAGAGGAGAGGGGAGGGAACTTGAGAACTGAGGTCTGTCAAGTACAGGAACCCTGCTCAGGTTCCCCATCCCAAACCCCAGGAGGCCCAACCCAGGAAACGGCAAGAAGACCATGTAATTGTGTCAGTCTAGGCCTTTCTCTCTTTCCCTCTCTTCTGCCTCAGTACAGGTTTAGTAAAAACTACCACACCTTCAGTTGTTTGAAGCCTGTTCCAACCCCCATACCCTGAACCCCAATCCATGCACTTTGGGGAGCTCAGGCACTGGGCATCACAGTTGCCTTCTCAGGAGGCTCCCACCATGCCAAGGAAGATAGAAGGGACACAGTACCCCAAACTAGAAGTCAGAGTCTCTCCAAGACCACTATGGTGACAACCCCACAGAAATCATAGGGCAGGGAGGGTCAGGCTGAAGGGCTCCATATAGAGCCCTGGCCCCAGAACACCCCAACTTTAGTATTGTCAACATGGCCCCAAATGTCAGGGGCTGGGTGGAGCCCGACTATGCATGTAGGCCAGTGCCTCTCCCACTGAGGTCCACCCTACCCCTGGGGATCAGAGAGATTACCAGAGAGCATGTGGATGGGGGTCAAGAGGGGTAGAGGGCACCCAAATGAGGAAAGGGCTGTGGGTGAAGGGACACTGAAGGGTAACTAGGGTGGGAAGGGAAGCCTCACTGTTCCTAAGCTGCCTGGCTAAGCTGGGCTGGTGTGCAGTGCTGTGATCTTACCCATGATACAAACCCTTATACCAACCATACACTGAGGTGTTGTAAGGGGAGCGTAAGCATCAGCTGCAAGCCAGCTGCGTGGTGGCTGCAGTGACAATAAGAACAGTCAATTAATACGGCGGCCCCTGGACACGCCGCAGCCCTGCCCACCCCCACCCACCCAGCCCTGCCCAAGTGGACGCCGCGCAGCCTCAATGGGGCTTTGTAGCTGTGGGGGTGGGTGCTAACCATGCCCACCAGATCACTGCTTGATGAGAACTGGGTGGGGGCTGGGGAGGGAGGTGGAGGGTCGGGTGGCCTAGCCCAGTTCTACTGGGGGAGGATTAGACTGGTTCAAAGGCCAGCTCTCACTCCAACCTGGCGGCCCCAACTCCAGTGGGGGCCCAACAGGGAGAAGCTCCCCAAATCCGACACCTTCCCCCACCTCCAGCTGCCCCCATACCTCACCCAGTGCCCTCCTGGCCAGAGGTTCAACGTGTGACACTTACCTCCCTGGGCTCACACACACGTTGTGGGGGATTTGTTTTTGATTTTTAAAAAACACGTATATATATATATATATATATAAAAAAAAAGATATATCAGAAACAGAGGGAGAAGAAACAATGCTAAAGTCAGGTATGGCAGGGGAGGGAACAGACGACTGGGAAGAGGCCGGGAAGCAGAGGTGAGAGGGTCAGAAGAAAAGGCAAAGGCACAGGTACTCACAGTGCATGTCTCGTTCATGCTCATACTCGATGAAGGCATAACCACGGGGTTTCCCAGAGCGCTTACTGTATACCATGTGAATCTGCAGGGCAGGCAGAAGGCAGTCAGTTCCACAAGTTACAGGGCTGTCCCACCCACCCCACAACCCAACTTACGGCACAGGCCTTGGGCTGGGGGACAGACAGTAACAGATTTGTCTTTCAAGAGTCCCAAGGGACTCTCATTCCAATGGGAGCCAGAGTAAAGTGGAAACCAGAGGGCACAGAAGCATATGTGGGAGGCAGAGGGTCCTGCAAAGCAGGCTGGAGAAGACTGTGGAGACAGCTCTATGGAAACTCAATGTTCTGATGGTAGAGATCCTCAGATGAGGCCATAGGCAAATAGGCATTGAGTCAAGTGCCCCCAAAGGCAGCCAACTGTGAGGAATGAACAAGGTGCTGAGCACAAAGGGCCACTCCGGCTAGTTCATGCAGAACTGCGGAAAAGGAATCTGCCAGCAACTATGGCAAGAGGTATGTGCAGACAGCCCATGTATGGGAAGGCAGGGAGGTTAGAGGACCCAGGGCAATTAAGAGGCGTGGCCATACTGTAAAGGTCAAGCAAAGTCAGGCCAAGTGTCTGGGTCCTCTCTCCACATGGCAGTGACACAGGAGGCTTGAGTACAGAGAACCAGGATTCAGAAAGAAATGCTGGAACACAGGAGGTGGGGCAAAACAAATAAGACTTTTGGGAAGTAACAGTTTTTGAGCAGGTTCCCATCCACATCACTACCTGCCCACACACAGATAGATATGGTCCAAAGATTGCGCAGGAATCCTAAGATTTTAACTCTGCAACTTGTAATTTTCAAAAGTCAACTGAGATCCCGAGCTGACATGCTAGAGTCATGTTCCATCAGGTCACAAGAGGAGGTGGAGGATGGGACCAGTTTCTGAGACCCACGAATCACGGACAGGCCAGAGGGCCCATCCTGAGCTAATCAGCTTTGTGTCCATCATGAGCGCCAGTTCTTACTTTGTCTCCCAACAGAGGAAAATAAGGCACAGAGGAATTAAGTGAGTTTTGATATCAAATTGCACAACATCTATCTTTCTTGTTTTGTAGTCCAGACCTCACTCTCTAGCCCAGGCTAGCCTCAACCTTATGGGCAATCTTTCTGCCTCAGTCTCTCTAGGGCTAAGATTAGAGTTATGAGCCACTATCCTTTTTTTTTTTTTTTTTTTTTTTTTTGGTTTTTCAAGACAGGGTTTCTCTGGCTTTGAAGCCTGTCCTGGAACTAGCTCTGTAGATAGACCAGGCTGGTCTCGAACTCACAGAGATCCGCCTGCCTCTGCCTCCCGAGTGCTGGGATTAAAGGCGTGCGCCACCACCGCCCGGCCTATGAGCCACTATCCTTACAGTTAACATGTTTTCTTTCTCTGTCCAATACTTTCTATTTAAAATAATTTGAGATTGATCCCATTGTAAGATGATTGTGAGTTCTGCTGGAAACCTCTGGAAGAGTAGCTAGTGCTCTTAACCACTGAGCCATCGCTCCGTCTCGTGACCTATATAGTTAATTACTGATATATATGTGTGTTTGGGTATCCCAAACACAGCCTGCTCAGACCATATATACCTGCTCATGTTTTCAGGGCTGACCAATCTGCCTGGACAACCAATTAGTGTTTCTCCCTAGTTCCCTTCTGACTATTTCTCCTACGTGTGTTCTTCTTCTACCACTCTTTTTGAAGTTTCACTAACCTTGGGTAGTAAGTAGCCTGAGCTTGGTAGGTAAATCAGACTGACCTATAACTCAAAAGATGCATCTGCTGAGCGTATGCACACACACACACACACACACACACGCCCCGTGCTGGAACTGAAGGCGTGTGACACTACATCTGGTAGTATGGTTCTAGCAAAGGGTTAGGCAGCAGACACCCCAGACTGAGATCCACATAACACATGCTGTCATAGGGACCTAACTCTGCCCTGTAGCAATAACATCTGTAGACTACATACAAATTAACAAGTCTCCCTAACTATTTAGTAAGTTCAAGGCCAGTTTGGACAACTTAGTAAGACATTTCAAAGTAAAAGAGAAGCTGGGATGGGCTGGATAAATGGCTCCTCAGGGGTTAAAAGCACTTGCTGCTCTTGCTGAAACCCAGGTTCCACTCCCAATACCCATAGAACAATTAACAAGAGTCTGCAACTCCAGTTCCAGAGCAAGGGCACGCACTGTATACACTTAGTATACATATACATTATCAAAATACATATAATCTTTAAAAAAGAAAAAAAAAGAAAGAAAACAAGGCCTACTTGTGATAGACTGAGACCCTATCCTTTTTTTTTTTTTTTTTTTTGATACAGGGTTTTGCTGTATGACAGCCCTGGCTGTCCTCGAACTAACAGAGATCCACCTGCCTTTGCCCTCGAAATGCTGGGATTAGGCATCACCACCATGCCCTGTGAGACACTAAAACAACTAAATAAAAAAGTCTGAAGGTGCTGGTGATGTAGCTTAGCTGGTAGACTAAGATGTAACCCAGCACTCTGGAGGCAGACAGAAGCTCTAAATTTAAGGTCACCCTCTACTTAATGAGCTCAAGGCCAGCCTGGACTATGTGAACCACAACCATATGTAATCCAGATCCGAGGGGTCCAATGCCCATCTGGCCTCCAAGGGCACTGCACTCATGTCAACATACATGGTGGTGGCATATATCTTTAATCCTAGTACTCAGGAAGCAGCGATCTCTTTGAGTTTGAGGCCAGCCTGGTCTACAAGATCTAGTTCCAGGACAGCTGGAATGACACAGAGAAACCCTGTCTTGAAAAAAAGAAACAGCTGGGTGGCAGTGGTACACACCTTTAATCCCAGCACTCAAGAGGCAGAGACAGGCGGATCTCTGTGAGTTCGAGGCCAACCTAGTCTACAAGATCTAGTTCCAGGACAGGCGCTAAAGCTACAGAGAAAAAACCAAAAGAAAAAAGAAACAAAACAAAAAATAGTATCAGAAATGGCTCAGTGGTTAACAGAACACTTGCTGCTCCTGCTGCAGACCTGGATTTGGTTCACAGCACCCACATGGTAGCTTATGGCTCTGTGTAACTCTCCTCCCAGGGGCTCTAGGAACCTCTTCTGACCTCCTAGGGAACGAGGCACCAACATAGCAAACCTATTAACAAGCAGGCAAAAGGACACTCATGTACAGAAAAATCTAAAATTTTTAGCTGGGCAGTGGTGGCCCACGCCTTTAATCTCAGCACCCAGGAGGCAGAGACAGGAGGATCTCTGAGTTTGAGACCAACCTGGCCTAGAAAGAGAGTTCCAAGATAGCCAGAGATTTTACACAGAGAAACCGTCTCAAAAAAAATAAATAAATAAAAAGAAATTTTAAAATAAAAGCATCAATTGTACAAGAGCTGGGACAGTTTCAGGTACAATTCTTATTTGGCATATATACTGCTGACTGGAGCTTACGCTCTAATCCTGGGGGCAGAAGAGTAAGCTATATCTATTCGAGGTCTTAGAGACCAGCCTTGGACTCATGAGACTACCTCACAAACTGGAAAAGAAACAAACAGCCCACCTAAACTGAACCGATAGCCTTAGTGGGCCTGCTTCCTCAACCATATATCAACTTGAAGCAAGATGAAGCTTGCCAATAGGTATTTTAAATCCACAAGAAATGAGCTTTTTAGCCCAGGCTAGTCTAGATCCAGTCTCTGCCTCCTGAGTGCTGGGATTAAAGGTATGGACCACCACAGCCCTGCCCAATGTTACTTTTGATACTAAAGCTACACTAAAGGAAATAAACCCAGGCCTTGAAAAGATGTGACCCGTTCCCAGGCTGGGAAGCCAGCCTTCTTCCTCTCTTCAGGCTACTCCTCCCTCCTCCAAATATTCCAACTCAACCCTCCAGCCCAACCCACTTACTCTTTTGATGGGTCCATACACCTCAAACTCTCTCCGAAGCTTAGATTCTGTTGTGTCATAGTTCTACAAGAGACAAAGCCAAGTTAAACGGGAGAAGCACACTGTTCCAAAGTCCTTAAACAGCCCATAGCTAGTAGACTCAAGTTCTCAGCAGCCAAGGATTCCCATGGCAGGAGTTGGGTACTTACCACTCTAGCCACGAACAGAGTCTTGAAGGCATCGCCCTGAGCATTGGGATCATTGTGAGGGTCCCCTGAACAAAAAGGAGAATCTTTTAAGTACAGTGCCCATAGTCTTGAGTAGAAGAAAAATGGACAGAGGCTGAGGACATGAAGATGGAACCTTAATAGACCCCCTTCTAAAAGAAAACCTCACAGTGACTTGGCAAGCTTGATTACACACCTAGTTTCAGATCAGCTTCACTAAAGCTAGATGGCCTTTTCTAGAGTGACTTCCAGATGAGGACAACAGGCTGTTGGGGTGGAAATGCCATTTCATAGATAGGGTGTGATACACCAAAACGCCATTCCCAATACAAGGTGAGCTGAGCAGTAACTAAATCCATGGGATCTCTCTGGAGGGAAACTCAGCTATTTTGTTCCCTAATATGTGCGGTACTGGCACTTACTGGACAGACTGCAACCACAGCCGGGAAAAGCTTGATACCAAGTAGTCTCTCACTAGACAACAAGAGTCCAGGATAAGGAGCTGGAGAGATGGCTCAGAGATTAAGAGCACTGGCTGCTCTTTTAGAAGTCCTAAATTCAATTCCCAGCAACCACATGGTAGCTCACAACCATCTATAATGAGATATAATATCCTGTTCTGGCCTGTAGGGATATATGCAGGAAGAATACTGCATACATAATAAATAAACAAATCTAAAGAGTCCAGGATAAACTGGGTATGATGGCCCATTAGTTAATCCCAGCACTGAAGGGGCAGAGACAGACAGAACTCAGCCTGGTCTACATAGTGAATGAATTCCACGCAATACAAGCTACACAGCGAGACTGTCTTAAAAATAAAGTAAGACAGTCCAGGATAGTTTTCTCCTCCCTATCCTACAGCCTCAGGCAGGGACCCTGGGCTGGCGCTGAAGAAAATGACCAGGACCAACTGGTATAAATAGACAACTAACTCCTGTTAGACCACCAAGATTTAAGTCTTCTGAAAAAGATCAAGAATCTATTAATCACTGGGGGGTGGTGGGTGGTATGCATGCCTTTAATCCCAGCTCTTGGAAGTCAAAGGCAGGTGGATCTCTGTGAGTTTGAGGCCAGTCTGGTCTACAAAGGGAGGTCCAGGGCAGTCAGGGCTACACAGAGAAACCCTGTCTCAGAAAAAAAGAATTGGACTGGAGAGATGGCTCAGAGGTTAAGAGCACGGGCTGTACTTCTAGAGGTCCTGAGCTCAATTCCCAGCAACCGCATAACCATCTATAATGAGACCTGATGGCTTCAGTCATATAAGCACACATGCAGACAGAACACTGTGTGTGTGTATGTATATGTAAATCTTAAACAAAAAAAAAATGAAAACCTATTACCCAACTCTAATGAGTGTGGGAGTGCTGGAAGCTAAACGCCTGTGCTGAACTTTCTGTGCCCCTCTCACCAGCTGCTCCAGCTATCTCTCATTCATATACTCTGTAGTATGCAGTTGCACAGTAAGAGCTTAAGAGGGGAAAAAAAATGACTGCTGAGATTTTGAGGTCAGCCTGGACAATTTGGAAGGAGGCCTGACATGCATAATGCTTTTGAACATGGTATCAGAGGTACTTCTGCCTTCCATTGGTGGCCTATAAGTATGCTTAACCAGTCTAGACAGACTATCCTTGTTACAGATATCACAGGCATTGATACTTAACAAGTCTCTTCAGTTATCAGTTGTGACCTTCCCACTAACAGAGAAACTAAATCCAAAGAATCAGCCATAGTGGTGGTCCTCCTTTTGATTATAAGAGCACGGCTGTTAATAAGGTGACAGAATGAACTCAAGACATTAAGACTTTCAACTACATTTCCACTTAAAGAGATGCCCCTCAGCTGGGCAGTGGTAGCACACACCTTTAATCCCAGCACTCCGGGAGTTTGAGGCCAGCCGGGTCTACAGAGTGAGTTCCAGGACAGGTTCCAAAACTACACAAAGAAACCCTGCCTCAAAAAACCAAAGCAACGATGCCCCTCAAAGTTGCAAATTCATCCTAGGAGCTGTCCTGCTACTGGCCCTTAGCCACAGTTCAATACCAGTGTGCTGAGGATTGGGAGGAGTGAAGAGAAAGGAGTTAAAAGATAGGTATCGCTATCTTTCTCTCTCTTTAAATAAACATTACTTTTTGAGGCAAAAGGAACCAAGAAAAACAACTTTTGTAAAGGTGCTGGGTAGCTGGGCATTGGTGGCACACACCCTTAACCCCAGTACTCAAGGCAGCCAGATCCTGTGAGTTCCAGGACAGCCAATGTTACACAGAGAAACCCTGTCTCAAAAGAGAAACAAAATAAATAAAAATAATAAAAACTCACAGGCACGTGAGTAGGTAGATCAGAAGAATAAAGTTAGCAGACTCTACGTGCGCAAGTGGCGAATAGTAGACCAAATAGTAGACCCAAAGGAACCAGGTAAAAATGGTACCTACCTCCCAACACCAGATGTAGGGTACAATGGGTATTACCTGTCCAGTGCTGCCTGCCAACTGAGACAACTAGAACAGCTAGGAAATGCTCAGCACACAAGAGGAAACATCTCTATGTGAGATGCCTATAGTTCTTGCTTACCACAAGACTGATGAAGGACTAAAGGTAGAAACCCATGCTACCAATCAACAATACTAATATCTGAAGAAATACAATACCTGAAAGACAACAAGTAATAGCGAGTGCCTACTGAAGTATGGCAAGTGTGGTATGCTTGCCTGTGTACTCAGCTCCACCTCTGTATCAGTCATCAGGACCCTGAGAATGAACTGGCCCACAAGAAGCCTCAAAGCTAGAAAACTTCACTAGGCTTTCAGTTGGCTGACGCGAACCTTCAAAACTCTCCCTCTTTATAAGATACTGCACCTTGATAAGCCACTACTTTCCCATCTTTAAATTGAGCATAACCCTTCCTGCTACACATAAACATCATTAGGAATCGATAATATGAAGGAACTCCAGTGCTCAGCAAAGAAACAGACGCTATCGATTTTAATGGAGCAAAGCAAGCTTTTACAGTTAGTGAGGACAAGCAGACACCCTACTCTGCCTGATTAATCCTGTATGTTCTATTTTGGAAAGTACAAAGCACACCCATAATCCTGCTTCAATTATCAACACGGGAACCTAACTTGATAGACCTCTATACTCCCCCACCTCAATTTGAGAATTTCAGTCACATCTCAGAGCTTGCGATGCTGATTTTTAATACTTTTAAACCAGTTTCATTATTAACATGTCTAATTTCTAACCTGATCTACAATCCATTTAAAACCCTTTAACTGGAGCTGTTTCGGAATGACACTTTTATATATGACACAATTAAACTGTGATCCAACCAAGCTCCAAGTCTTGCTTGATTGATGAGTCTTCTGACCCCTCAGTCCATGGTCCCCCTGTTGACCGATCCCCACCTTTCTTTGTAAAGGAAATCAGGTAACCAGTCTGTTCTATACAATCAACTGCTCACATTCTCTACCTAATGCAAAGCATACCTAGACAGACAAGGAAGGTACTGGGCTTTATGCTGAGGGCAGCAGGGAGAGATGAGCGTTTTTGCAAAGTGGCACAGAGGATTTTGGCAAGGGGAGAAGACAAGTAAACGAGACACATTGCACTTATGCTGGAGAGGTTGTGGGGAAAAGGGAACACTTCTGCATTGCTTGTGGGAGTGAAAGCTGATACAACCCCCCTTTGGATGTCAGTGTGGCAATTTCTCAGAAAATTAGGAAACAACCTTCCTCAAGATCCAATAATACCACTTTTGTGTATATATCCAAAGGATGCTCAATCGTGCTACAAGGACATGTGCTCAACTATGTTCATAGCAGCTTTGTTTGTCATAGCCAGAACCTGGAAACAACCTAAATGCCCCTCGATTGAAGAATGGATAAAAAAAATGTGGTACATTTACACAATGGAGCACTACACAGTAGCAAAAAATTATGACAGCTTGAATTTTGCAGGAAAAATGGACGGAGCTAGAAAACATTATTTGAAGTGAGGTAACCCAGACACAGAAAGATAATTATCACATGTACTCATTCATAGGTGTTTTTTAAGCATAAAGCAAAGAAAGCCAGCCTACAAACCACAATCCCAGAGAACTTAAGACAACAAGGCAGACATTAAGAGAGACTTACTTAGATCTAATCTACATGGGAAGTAGAAAGTAGAAAAAGACAAGATCTCCTGAGTAAATTGGGGAAGGATTGAAAGGGGGAAGGGGGAAGCAGGGAAGGGAACAGAGAAAAATGTAGAGCTTAATATCAAAAAACACTCAAACACATGCAAATAAAAATAAATAAATCTAACTGGACAAAAAGACATTGCTACAGCACTGTCCAAGTCAAGAGGGACCTTGGGTGCTACTGGCGGACATGGAACATCTAGTTTTGTGACATTTAGCAAGTAGCAGGAACAGGTCTTGGTGACAAGCTGGCCAAGTTATAATGGTATGTGATGGCCAATCTTAGTTGTAAACTATCACGTGTGGAATCAACTAAAACACAAGTTAGTTGGGCATGCCCACGGGGATTTCTGGATTGAATCATTTGGGATGAGAAGATCCAACTCAAATCTAGGCCACACCTTGTTGGCAGTCAACATGAAACCATGAATAAATTAAGTTTTTTGATTGCCAGCCTTCACTCTCTGCCCAGGTTCACACTGAGTACTTCTTCAGAATGTACTTCTTCAGAAATCTAACACAGAATAAAGACCAGCTGAGGGACTGGAGAGATGGCTTTGTGCTTAAGAACACTGCTTGCTCTTCCAAAGGTCCTGAGTTCAACTCCCAGCAACCACATGGTGGCTCACAACCATCTGCAATGAGCTCTGGTGCCCTCTTCTGGCCCGCAGGCATACATGCAGGAAGAACACTGCATACATAATAAATAAATTAATTAAAAAAAACAAAACAGCTGAGACATCCAGCTTTGTGAACAGAACTGACAGACTCAGCCTTTCTGTTGAGAGACGGCCACTCTAATAACTCTCTCTCTCTGTTCTGTTCCTTTAGAGAACCCTAACACAGGTGCTAAAAACAAACTGAATACCAACAGGAAAGCTGTATTCAGAGAGGCAGAATCCCATTAAGAATTGGGAAGAGCTCTTTCGGCCATCTTGGCGCCTGTGGAGGCCTGCTGGGAACAGGACTTCTAAAGGACAGTTTGTCTGGAAGGCTGTGGTGCAAGGCCACTTTTGCTGACTATAAGCGAGGTCTCCAGAACCAGAGAGAGCAAACGGGGCTCTCCTTAAAATTGAAGGCGTTTGCGGGGCGGTGGTGGCGCACGCCTTTAATCCCAGCACTCGGGAGGCAGAGGCAGGCGGATCTCTGTGAGTTCGAGACCAGCCTGGTCTACAGAGCTAGTTCCAGGACAGGCTCCAAAGCCACAGAGAAACCCTGTCTCGAAAAAAAAAAAAAAAAAAAAAATGAAGGCGTTTATGCCCAAGATGAAACTGAATTCTACTTGGGCAAGAGATGCGCTTATGTGTATAAAGCAAAGAACAAAGCAGTGACACCTGGAGACAAACCAAACAAAACCAGAGTGATCTGGGGGAAACAGTGGCATGGTCCCTGCCAAATTCCGAAGCAACCTTACTGCAAAAGCCATTGGACACAGAATCCGTGTGATGCTGTACCCATCCCGGATTTAAACCAATGAAAAGTAAATAAATAAAAGTGGATTTGTGCTCTTGTAAAAAAAAATAAATAAATAAAAAAGAATTGGGAAGAAAGGGAAGTGATTCAGTGGCCTGAACATGGATTATGATGTATCTAATGAAGAACACCTAGCCAGAGCTCCACTGATGTGGGAAGTCCTTCTTTTATGTGTTGTTATTATTGGTTAATGAATAAAGCTGCTCTGGCCTATGGCAGGGCAGAATATAGCCAGGCTGAAACAGATTTGGAGTGAGAGTTGGTGGAGTCAGGGAGATGCCAGACCTTTATCAGCAAGCCACAGCCTTGTGCCAATACACAGATTAATAAAATGGGTTAATTTAAGATGTAAGAGTTAGTTAATAAGAAACCTGAGCTAATAAGCCAAGCAGTATTGTGACTAATACAGTTTCTGTTTGATTACTTGGGTCTGGGTGGCTGGAAAATTAACAAACAGTCTCCGTTGCCAACGTGGAGCAACTACATCCACATAAAACCCGAGAGAGCTTGGAAAGGAATTCTAGACACAAAAGAACAGAGTTAATCAGTTTCTTGTTAGCAGCATTTTCTCTCTGTGTCTGTTTGCTGGTGGCAAGCAGAGGCACAACTCACTCTTAAGAGAAGCCTTCCTGACTCAGCATTAGCAGAAAAACTGCGCGGCTTCTTTAAGAGCTAGCTTCCTCTGGCGCTTTCAGGAGGTCCTGCACTTAAATGGAGTTTGTAAGCAGTGTGTTACTAGTTGCTTACAGGGAAAATAGACCTGCTGCATCCCTGGAGCTGGGGCAGTGAGCATGGTGCACAGAGGCAAGATTGGGCTGGGTGGAGCAAACAGGCAGGGCCAAAGAGTTGGTACTAGCCACACCCTCCTAGAATTGAAAAAACAAAAAAGGTGATCCTGGTCAGAAAATTATTACAAACATGCAATAAAGACAGATTCAGAGAGAAATAAACCTCTGAACAGGTCACAGTGTGTTGGGAAAAAAAATACATAGGCTTGGGAGAGAGAAGAGAAAGAGTATAGACAGTTGTCATTTGTAATAGTCAAGCTTTAGTCATGTTAGTTAGGTTTTCTAGATGTACAAAGATATATTTCAGATGGATAGGTATTCCTCAAACCTTTCACACTTAATAGAATATGGCATTTAAAATATTTTAAGAACTTAGACTTTTCTTGACAGTGAACCATGTTTGCTTCTGACAGCACCAATTACTTCAAGAGGATGATGAACCTCTCTGCCAGATACTATGGGCCAAGTAGGCTAAAGATGGATACCCCAACGTGCAGAAGAATTTGGGTGACTGTTCAGGCAGCAAAATGTCTGTCAATTTTAGAGTTTTGGAAGTTGCTTACTATGCATTTCCTGCTTACTTAGGCAATATTATATATTTAATACAGTTTCTGTGTGATTATTTGGGTCTGGGCAGCCAGGAAATGAACACACAGTCTCTGTTTACACTTCATGCACTGTTAGTGGTGCGCACTAAACACATTTGTGAAAATCCACAAGTCTGGAATATGGTTTAAAAAGAAATAATTCACTAAAGCTACAGACAATAATATATGGAAAAAAAAAACCTCATCTTCTGTCAAGTCTTTACTTACTGATCCTGTTGTGAGTCTGCTTACCAAGCACTACTTAAACCCTCCAACCCTGGATGGTGAAGCATCTCCACTTCTATGATCAGGAAGCTAGGGATAGAGCCAGAACCAACTGACCAGATTGCCTCATACCTTATCCTGGAGATAAAGTGGAATGTGGTCCCTTACAGAAATGGCAAGTGACTGGGGTATCCTTACCTGTTAAAAGCCTAAACCAACCGGAGCTGGAGAGATGGTTAAGCAATTAAGAGCACTGATTGCTCTTCCAGAGATCGGTGTTTGAGTCCCAGCACCCACATAGCAGCTCATAACTGTCCAACTCTAGTTCCATGGAATCCTATGACCTGTCCTGGTCTCCTACATGCAGATAGGCAAACCACTCATACATAAAAAAATTAATAAAAAAAAGAAAGCCTAATCCAAGGACTGTCCTTGGTACGTGGTTGCTAGGAAAGTGAACCAACTCTGTTTTCTCAGGCTCCCAGAAGAATAGTGGCCCAGGTGTGACCCAGAAAGAAGAGCAAATTGAAATTGGAGAAGATTGCTAGGAGGGAGAAGCAGCTTACACATTTTCAGCTCTGTCTCCACTTCTTGCTGTCTCCGTTCAATCTTTTCCCGTCTCTGCCAGTAGAAAGGAGAAGTAAAGTAAGTGCAAGCAGAAGTCCCTGGATGGCTGGGACCACCTGCAAAGAAGTAGCTAGAAATACATAAGACTAAGAGGTGTCAGGCGGTGACACCTTTAACCCTAGCACTTGGGAGGCAGAGGCAGGAATTTCTCTGTGAATTCGAGGTCAGCCTGTTCTACAGACAGCCAAGGTTAGGCAGAGAAACTCTGTCTAGGAAAACAAAACAGCCGGTTGGGGGTGGAGCACACCTTTAATTCCAGCACTCAGAGGCAGGGGGATCTCTTCGAGTTCGAGGCCAGCCTGGACTACAAGAGTTAGTTCCAGGACAGGCACCAAAAGACCAAAAGCTACAGAGAAACCCTGTCTCGAAAATCAAAAAGGGGAAAATAGCAAAACAAAAAACATACCTTTCTCTCCATGCGTTCCTCCCGGGTTTCTGCCCTTGTTGGAGGAGGGGCATCTCGAGGGTCCTAGAAACAAGAAAGGTGAAGGAATATAGCAAGGCACACAAACAAGGCAAAGACTCTCAGTTCCCGTGTAAACAGAAGACAGAGGGTAAAAATGTGGTATGTTCCATGGACCAGTGCTGACCAGACTACTACAGATTGGTGGCAAGGGCAAAATAATAAAAGGCCAGGCGGTGCTGGCGTATGCCTTTACTCCCCACACTTAAAAGGCAGAGGCAGAGGGATCTCTGTTAGATCAAGACCAGCATGGTATACAGAGCTAGTTCCAGGGCAGGAACTAGCTAGGGCTGTTACAGAGAAACTGTCTGGAAAAAAAACAAAACAAAAACAAACAAACAAAACAACAATAAACCTCCACTTGGTGGTAGAGGTGCATTATTTTAATCCCAGAACGTGGTTTCAAGGCCAACCTGGTCTGCAGAGTTGAGAGCCAGGACAGCCCAAGTAACTTTATGTCTACTGCATGTACATGCGTGTGTGTCCTTTAATCCTAGCGCTTGGGAGGCAGAGTCTCTGCGAGTTTGAGGCCCGTGTGGTCTACAAAGCAAGTTCCAGGACAGCTAGGGCTACACTGAAAAAATCCTGTCTCAAAAATAAATGAAACAAAAGCATCTGCACTGACTGGTGGACGCTTGTTCATCAGATTGTGACATGGCTGTAAAGTACAGTTCCAAAGCAAACATCATTTCCTATAGTTCCAAGTATGATGTACAGAGAGCCAAATTCTAGTTTTAGAAACAGCTCTAAAACAGTGGACAGGGCAAACCTCCAAAACAAGACAACCTTAATGGCACAGCAGGTCTGGAGATCCTCACTAGCCTCTCATTAAATACTAATTGGCACATGACTGCAAAAAAAGCACCACTAAGCTGCACCGTTAAACTCAGTTTATTGGCTCATAACATTTCCTAAGGGGTGGTGACAAGGCAGGCAGGCAAATAACGCTAACAAATCACCTTTCTATTATCTATTAAATTCTGGCTTTCCTACTCAGTGGCAGACTGTCTCTCCTAAGACTTCTGGTTACATGGCAGCATTTCTTAGATCTGCTCCAATGGAGGACATGACAAATTTTCTGAATGAAAGAACCTGACACTCAAGAGCTCAAGTGATTCAGATTTAGTCACACATACCCAACAAATACAGAGCCAAAGCCCCAAGCTCCCAAGCCTTAAGCACTGCAGGACATATTGTGCAGCCTTAGTAAACACTATCCTCTTTCAAAAATTCTTCCAAGCCAGGTGGTGGTTGTGCACGCCTTCAATCCCAGAACTTAGGAGGCAGAGGCAGGCGTACCTCTGTGAGTTCGAGGCCAATCTGGTCTACAAGAGCTAGTTCCAGGACAGGGTCCAAAGCTACAGAGAAACCCTGTCTCGAAGAAAAAAAAAAAAACTTCCACATTTACCTTATTAAGGTAAGGATGTATACATGTATCATCACAGTGTATGTGCCAGAGAACAACACACTAGAATGTTCTCTTTTCTTCCACATTGTGGATCCCAGGAACAGAACTCGGGTTTTTGGTAGCAAGCACATTTACCCCCTAAGCTATCTCCTGGCCCTACACTGTCCTTTTAATGTCACTAGAAAAAAAAAAAAAGGAAAAAGGAAAAAAAAACCTAGTCAAAACATCAAAAATAGACTTTCTGGGCTGGTGGTACATGCCTATCATTTTGGCACGTTGAGAATAGGAAGCAGAGGATCATAAGTTCAAAGCCAGCTTTAGTGACACAGGGAAATCCAGACCAGCCAGGGCTCCATAAAAACTGTCTCCAGTTTGGGCAGTGGTGTGCACGCCTGTGAGTTAGAGACCAGCCTGGTCTACAGAGGGAATTCCAGGACAGTCAGAACAACACAGAAAAACCCTGTTGGGGGAGGGGGAAGAGCCCAGAAAAAACTTCCTTCAAACAAACCCCAATACAAGCCTTCAATTTCAGTACCAAAGGGCACAGAGGCAAGCACATGTATCATGTTTCTCTGCAAGCTTAAAAAAAAAAAAAGACATTAAGACATACTTGTAAATGTAATAAATATGACCAACCGCACAGGACTACCAGAACCCTGCAAAATACATTATTAACCCTACTTAAAACAAAGAAAATAGGGGCTGGAGAGATGGCTCAGTGCTTAAAAGCACTGGCTGCTCCTCCAAAGGAGGAGGGTTTAATTCCCAGCATCCACTTGGCAGCTCACAACTGTAACTCCAGTTCCAGAAGATCCATGGCACCAAGCATACAGCATGCACATGGCGTATGCAGGAGAATAGCCATACACATAAATTTTTACAATTTGATATGTATTATTTATTACATTTTACATTTCTTTCTTTTTACTAATTTCTCATTTTATATCCGAAATAAATAAGTCCTAAAAAAGAGAGAAATTAACAGGTCCTGGAGGTGCACACACACCCCAGGAAGTGCAGAATTTGGGAACGTAAGTAGGACTGCCACAATATCAAGGCAGTCACAACAGGAGCTAGCACGACGAATTCTGCAGCTTAAGGAACTTGCCATCAAATCTAACAAATTCAGCTTGATTTCCTGGGCCCGCATGGTGGAAAGAGATCAGAGCCTCGCAAGTTGTCCCGATGTTCACAGGTTTGCACACATACCACTTATACAAGTGTAATTAAAAAAAAAAAATAACACACACAAAAGCAGAAAACAAGATGGAAAAAAGTATGATCATAGGCACACAGCTAAAATGTTGCAAAGCTGAAGTCCAAGTGCAGCCTGTTCCCATGCAGAACCCAAGCCCTCCTGTGTGTCCATGTCTCCGTGTACTCACCTCAAATTCTCGGATGTACGGTGCAATGCCACAGTAAGGTTGGTTGTGATGTTTCTCATGTGGCAGCTTTTCCAGGGGTGGCAGGTACGGGATGGGATCTCGAGGGGCAAAGAGGGCCAGAAGGTTGGGAGGCAGAAACTGTGTCATCTTCTTAAACCTGAGACCAGAAACCTTACGTTAGGAAACTTTAGCACAGGAGACTGATTGCCTCCAGGATCCCCTCCACACAAAAAACAAACGAACGGGCGAGAGGTCTCCAAGGTGCTTATACGCCCGGAAAGCGGCTGGAAGCCATATGCACGAAAAAGGAAGGTCTTGGGCAGGACCTGAGAAACAAAAGGCGAAAAACACAGAAAACAAAGAGAAAAGATCAGGAGGTGTGGGACCCAGGGACTGAGGCTCCGGGCTCAGGAGGAGGCTGGTTTCACACCTAGGAAAAGATTATGAGGTAGGGGCCTCAGGGTAGTCCACATCAAGCCAGGGCGTCTGCGTTAAACATCTGGGATCCCAGAGGCGAAAGGAATTGTGGGTAGAGGTCCGGGATACAAAAAAAAAAAAAAAAAGCGAGGAAAAGAGGCAACATTCAAAACGCAAGGGCCTGTGGGTAGGGGACCGCGAGAAGTAGGGGAATGGAAGGGGTCGGAGAGCCCAGGGGACTCCGGGTAGAGGATGGGGGTTGAGGCGCGACCCGGGAAGCGGGCCTCAGGCGCGGAGAACGGGCTCGGGGATCCCGCAAAGGCCTGTGGGTAGCGGCCTCGCACCCGCTAAGGCCACTCATTCACTCACCGCGCAGCGCTCTCCTCAGCCTGCCGCCAGTCTCAGGCCTCGCGGCCGCCGCTCACCAACAAAACCTCCCGCTCTGGCTTCCACTTGGGCAGCGTTCGCGTCAGCTGTCTTCAGAGGTCCGCGCAGCACGCGCAAACCGGGACGCTGCTCACCACCCGCGCGGCCTCACCTCGCGACCAAGCGGTGAGTGGCTCAGGTCTCGAATCCCTCCGCCGGCTTCACTGCGCATGTGCTGCACAAGGCAAAAGCAACCCAATGGGGGGGGGGGCTTGCCTTGCCGCGGGCACTGCGCTCGCGCAAAACGAGACTCCGCCCTCAGACTTCTTACACGCCTAAGCGGCCAAGCCCGGGCCACCGTACTGCGCGTGCGTGCGTGCTCAGGGCCAGCCGGCCTCTTCCTCGCTCTCTGTCCAACCGACTATGCCCGCGAGACACTGACGGATGCTCCACCCCATTTTCCTTACACTTCCCGGACCATGTACGCACGCGCCAACGTAGGAATTAGTGAATATCCTTCCGCAGCCTGTTAAAAAGTACTTACATGAATACGGTTTTTTTCTATATATGTTCTATGTAATGAATAAGTTCTTTCCCAAGTTTCTTGTATGTTCTAGCCACTGTTTGGACTCTAGGGACACAGCACATGACAAAATAGTCTTCTTGTAATTCACATTGTTTTAGTTGACTTTTCTTTCTGTGTGTTTTTTTTTTCAGACAAGGTTTCATTATGTAAACCAAAATCACCTTGCATTTGTGTATGTGTGTATGTGTATGTGTATGTACATGTATATGTGTGTGTGTTTTGGTGTGTGTGTGTGTATTGGTTGGTTGGTTGGTATTTTCAAGAGTTTCACTGTGTAGCCCTTGCTGTCCTGGAACTCAGGATGGATTGCAACTTACAGGGATCCTCCTGCCTCTGTCTCCTGAGAGCTGTGATTGAAGGGACTTGCCACCATGCCCAGAGGGGTTTGCTTTTGTTTTTAATCCTTTGTATGTCTGTCTGTCTGTGGTGGGGGTGGGCACGTGCCCAGAGGTTAGAAGAAGGTGTAGCCCTTTGGAGCTAGAGTTACAGGTGATTGCAAACCTCTGAGTGTTGGCTGCTGGCAACTGAAGTCAGTCCCCCGTGGGAAAATTATGCATGTTCTAAATCACTGAGCCATCTATTCATCCTGAGCCCAGGCTTCTTGCATGCTGGGTAATCTAATCACTCTGCCAACTCAGGTCTTGCTGGAGTGAAGGCCAGTCTCTAACTCACTGTTCCTGCCTGAGCCTCCAGAGTCCTAGGACTACAAGCATGCAAGTCATACATCGCCTGACACCATTTTTAAAGATGTGCTTCTATTTTTATATGCCTGTGTACAAGTGCTCAAGGAGACCAAAAGAAGGCATTGGATCTTCTAGAACTACAGGTACAGACATTTGGGTGCTAGGAACCCAACTCAGGTCTGCTCTGAGAGTAGCAACTGATTTTAACCCCTGAGACATCTCTCCAGCGTGAAGTGAGTAAATCGCAGCGGCCCTTCAGCCTTCAGTATACAGATCCTCAGGAAACAAGGACCCTCTACAGAAACACATCCTTCACCACTGAGAGCGTGGTCCATGGACACTCTCTTACAGAAACACAGCCTTCACAACTGAGACCCTCTCCTACAGAAACACAGCCTTCACCACTGAGAGCGTGGTCCATGGGGGCCTACTCCAGAACCCCAGAACTTGGGACGTGGAGGTAGAGCATTTGCTTATTATGCTGGAAGCTGTGGTTCCATCTGCAATACATGAGTCTTAAAAAACTTTTAAACTGGTCACACTATTCCACACATGTATTTCTAGTAATAGGGACTCAGAGGATGGAGCATTCAATTCCATCCTGATCTACAACAACAACAACAAAAAAAAAAATCGAAAACAGAACAAGGGGCTGGAAAGAGGTTCAGCAGGTAAGAACACTAGCTACTCTTACAGAGGACCTGGGTTTGATTCCCAGTACTCACTCGTAGCTGTGTCCCAGGCAATCCCAGTGCCCGCCTCTGACATCCGAGAGTACCAGGCATGCACAAGTACACTGTGCACAAACGTGTGCAAACAAAACACCCACACACGAAATAACAAAAATAATGTTAATTAAAAAACTATTTCAAGGGGGCTGGAGAGATGGCTCAGAGGGTAAGAGCACTGGTTGCTCTTCCAGAGGTCCCGAGTTCAATTCCCAGCAACCACATGGTGGCTCACAACCATCTGTAATGAGACCTGTGCCTTCCTTGCCAACAGTACATTGTCTGCTTAATAAATAAATAAATAAATAAATAAATCTTTTGAAAAAAAGCTATTTCAAATCAGGCAGTGGTGGTGCACTCCTTTAATCCCAGCACCCAGCACTCGGGAGGCAGAGGCAGGCAGATCTCTAAATAAGTTTAACTAAGTTTAAATGTAGCTCACCTTCCCTCTATCATAATCCTAATTCCTACGTTTGTATCTGAAGCCACCGTGTTGTTGACAGAGCCTTGATATAGACAGGGAGAAGGCAGAGAAAGGGGCTAGCTGTTAGAATGAGCTCTAGTTGGCAACAGGTTAAGACATCCTAGGCCTGGCACGATGGAGGCAGGAGTATTAAAAGTTTGCCATCAGCCCCAACCCCTGTCAAGGTCAGCCTAGACAACCCCTATGAACCTTTGCTCTAGTAGATAAAATGATTCAGAGTGCAAAGTATCTACATCAAAGGAACATCAGGAACTGAGTTCTGGTCCCCAACAACCATGTAAAAAGCTGGACGTAGCAGAATTTGTTTGTAATCCTAGTGCTGAGGGCAGGGAGAGAAGAAATAGACAGGCTCCTGGACTCAGACAGAAGTGTGGAACAGCTCAACGTCTGAAGTGCACTAACGTCAGTTTTGTCTTTCATTTAGGCATAGCATAATGAGGTAGGAACAATTTTGGAACTGGATGAAGTGTTCAAGTACAGGGCTGGGGAGATGGCTCGGCAGTTAAGAGCACTGGCTGCTCTTCCAGAGGTCCTGAGTTCAATTCCCAGTTCAGCAAGCACAGTGGGATCTGATGCTTTTTACTGGCATAAAGTCAAACAAGCAGGTTTACTGTGCATGCATGTGTGTGTGTGCATTTGTCTTCTGGTGGATACATGCATGCAAATCTAGAAGAGGGTGTGAATCCCCTGGAGCTGGAGTTGCAGGTGGTTGTGAACCACCCAGAGTGAGTGCTGGGCACAGAACTTCAGGCCTCTGGGAGAACAGCCAGCGAGCCATCCTCCAGCTCCTATCTCAGTCTTTGGAAACAGGATCTCTACAGCTCAAGCTGACCTCATCCGTTCAATCCTCCTATTTTCTTCCAGATAGTTTATTGGTATGCACTCCACCTGGCTCTTAAAACAATTTTTAATTTTACCAATTACCTGGTTTTTTTTTGTTTTTTGTTTTTTGTTTTTTTTTTTTAGTTTTTCTGAGACAGGGTTTCTCTGTAGCTTTGGAGCCTGTCCTGGCACTAGCTCTTGTAGACCAGGCTGGCCTCGAACTCACAGAGATTCACCTGCCTCTGCCTACCTAGTGCTGGGATTAAAGGCGTGCGCCACCACCACCCGGCCTACCTGTTTATTTTGGGTACTGGAGGTGTGGCCTGAGGCCTCGTAAATGCTAAACAACATTGTAAATAATTATGTTACCAGCTCAGCGCTGAGGAGTCGAGTCAAGGCTTGACCAGCCAGCCACAGACACATTCTGCTGCTCTCCTGGAAATATTGATAACTATCCAGATAACCAGCAACAATATTCCCCAACTTGAAAGCCTTCAATTAAGCCTCTCCTAGTTGGCTTGCCAGATGAAGTAACAGTCTCAGGCTCCAGCGACTGGAGTATGATGTCTGCTTCCGCACTGGAGGCAGGGAACAGGGAGCAAGGGTCCGGCTATCTTCAGAAGTGTTCTACCGCATGAAGAGACACCATTACCACGGCAACTCTGAGGAAGGGAAGCAGTTAGCTGGGGGAGCTGGCTTTCATAGGTTTTAGTCCTTTACTGTCACAGCAGGAAGGATGGCAGCACAGGGGCAGACGTGGTGCTGAAGGGGCAGCAGAGAGTTCTACACGTGGATTCTTTTTTTTTTTCTTTTTTTTTTTTTTTGGTTTTTCGAGACAGGGTTTCTCTGTGGCTTTGGAGCCTATCCTGGAACTAGCTCTGTAGACCAGGCTGGTCTCGAACTCCCAGAGATCCACCTGCCTCTGCCTCCGGAGTGCTGGGATTAAAGGCGTGTGCCACCATCGCCCGGCTATACGTGGATTCTAAGGCAACAGGAAGACACCGTGAGTCACAAGGCCTGGCTTGAGCTTCTGAAACCTCAACACCCTCATGCCCCCACCCTACCCTGCCACACCCCGTCCCCACCCCACCCCACTTGTGATTTACTTCCTCCAACAAATAGGCCACACCTCCTAACAGTGACACTCCCTTTAATCCACTGAGGGCCATTTTCATTCAAATCATCACACCAGCCTGAAAGGATTCTGCAGGAATGCGGGAGGGAGAGTGCTGGGCAGAACCAGGGTCCTGGTCTGTGCAGGACAAGGGACCTGCTCTAATGTTCAAGAAAAAAACCTCACAGGAAGCCAGGTGGTGGTGATCCACGCCTTTAATCCCAGCACTCGGGAGGCAGAGGCAGGCGGATCTCTGTGAGTTCGAGGCCAGCCTGGTCTACAAGAGCTAGTGCCAGGACAGGAACCAAAAAGCTACGGAGAAACCCTGTCATGAAAATCAAAAAACAAAAAACAAAAAAAAAAAAAACACGGGATTCAGACTGACAAGCGGTTTTGATGTCATTTTACCCACACCCACCCCGGCAAAGCAGAGTGAGAGAATCTCTAGGGTTGGGTTTGACACACAGCACCTTCAAATGGTGGCAGATGACACCCTGGGGAAGGAGCCGGCTGAGAGTGCTGGGATTAAAGGCTTACGCTACACTGCCCAGCTATGACCAGTTTTTTCAATACAAGGTCTCACTATGTAGGCCTGGAACTTTATGTGAAGAGCAGGCTGGCCTCAAACTCAAACAAGTTTGCTTGTCTCTGCCTTACTAGTGCTAGTATTAAAGGCGTGTGGCAGCACACACGGTCTCATAACTGACTTTTTTTTTTGGGGGGGGGGGTCAGAGGCAGGAGGATCTCTCTGAGTCCCAGAAAGACACAAATCTGGGAAGGGAAACAGTTTTAGTTGGGAATTAT